AATAGTAAATGGACAATCAATTAATTTGTAATATAATAAATTGATTTGTTAATAATAATTATATATCTTTTACCTTCATATTTAACATCATCATCATTTAATGATTTTAACATTTTTTTAATACAATAATCTACCTGATTTAAATAAATTTTAAAATAGCCTTTTTTTTCTGATAGATATTTACTCAATTCGTCACATTTTTTAAATTGATCCCAAAGATCATAAATGTTTTTAAATGTATGATAAAAATTGTATAATGTAATAGCTGTAAGAAAAGTAAAACTTTCTACCTAGAAAAAAATAAATTGTTAGCATGTATAAAAACAAAACATATAGAATAACAATATACAAAATGTTTACACTTACGAAATTAGCAACTTTACCACCCATCAAATGTTTTAATTGTTCAATAACAATTCTTATCATTTTTTCTTTAACTCTCATCAATCCTCCAATATTACTGATTGATTTGGACCTTTTAACCAAATACATTACTGAAGAAACACGTTTATTAACTAAATTGGTTTGCACATGGATTTCATTTATGATATCAATCAAACCTATTTCTATATCTAGATCTCCAAGCACTTGTTGAAATTCAGTTTGCAAATCACTTGTTGACAAGTTTTCATTTAAAATCAATGATGACAACGACTTTAATTTATAATACAAGCTATTTGCATCAATTACTTCATCTGGTTCGTCAATATGGCTTTCAGCTAATAATTTATTTTGAGTTATTTTGATATATGATCCTAATTCATTTATTGTCATAATGTCTAAAGGTAACCAATCTTTTAATCCATTTTGGGTGATGCATAACAACAACTCATGGGATTCGGCTTCTATTAAATAATTGACCAAATTCTTATACGATTGATATTTCCCAAAAAAAGCAAATGTGACCTGGTGGGATATGGGGTAAGTGCGTGTAGATGGATCTATTAAATTTTTATATTTGACAAAAATAAACGTACAAATAAAATCATGTGGATGGCAGTAGTTATAGAATGTACAATACTTGCCTTTACTGAATTTTCTACATCCGGATCTTTTTCAGCATTCATATTGAAAAAGTCATTAACACTACTTGGGATGACGAAGTTATAAATCTTATAAATTATTCTATCGACATCAAAATCTTCTTCCTAATTTTGTGTGAAAAATTTTATTTAAAAAAATACATGAATGCACAAACGAACAAGCAAGCAAGCATACTGATAACATTGATATTTTTGATTTACAAACCTCTTCTAATATTAAATTAGAAATTCTAAAAGATGAGCATAACTCCAAATCATCATCATCTTTAGAATTTAAATTATTTTTTATTGAAATAATTTGTTTATTTATCAAGTATGCAATTGGTACTCCATCAAGAACTCCCAGATTTAATGGTAAACAATCCATTTTCCAGGAAGAACTTTTTTTAATGTTATAGTAAGAACAGTATGTTAATGGTATTTATAAGGAGAATTAATGATTTTTTGCTAACCGTGTTTGTTAATAGTATAAATGTTTAAAAAACAAGATTTTAGATAAAACAGGTTTGTTGTACAACAAAATTGATAACAAAAGTAGTAATAGTAATAGTAATAGTGGACATTTGATTCGTAATCACGTGCCGTTATCATTCAATACCGTTAGCAAAGAAATTCTTCACAAGTTTATTTTGTTGGTCCCAGGCGTATTAATTAGAATTAGGGTTGGTTTCCAAAACTGTGGTTTCGCAACTGTGCAAAAGTCACTGGTTTCACCACAACTTGAAACTAATTTTGATTTTTGACTTTTGATTTAGTTTTGACATAATTTTTAATTTTAGTTCGACTTTTGCCTCTGCGGACAATACTCTATAATATTTTTGATAATATCTTTTTGTGTATTTTGCATTAATTATTTTTCTTGGATACTTTGTATTTATCAAAAGTTCCTTTAACAAGAACCATAGAAACAATTCAAGAGCGACATGATTAAAAAAAGAAACGAGAAATATAACTTCCTGGCGCTAAAAGACATGAGAAATTAAAGAGTCGGGAGCTACTATTTAAAAATTTAAAGCTAGTTTTTATAAAGTAAAACATTACATCTTAAAAACTTATATTTACAAGGTAACTATAACAGGTAGCCAATTTTTTATCTACTAATATACAAATTAATAAAAACAACCTTACTAAACAAATTGATAGATAATATACAATCATAACAAAAACTAATGATTACTATATTGAGTAAATTTTTTCTTTATCAAAGCTCCGATTCAAATGCTCCAAATTCGTATACAAGCAATTCATATTCAGCAATCAAATTTTGTTTATTTTCAGCAAATTTGTTTTCTTCTTCAACATGACGATTTCTTTCCTTTTCCAATTTTTCATGCAAAGATTTAAATAGATCAAGTTTTTTATCGAAGTTTTTGATTTTATTGCCTAGACTGCTACTTAAAGCGGCCAACACAGCTAAACTTACTCCACTTAACCCCATCACTGCTAAACTTGTTATAATCTGAAAAAATTATAGTGATAATTATTAATATTTAATATTTGTTAATAAATATTATATGTGTTAATATGGACATTACTTGATTTTTATTAATACATTCTCTAAGGAAATGAAATCCAAATAATCCCAATCCAACACCAAGAACTCTAAATTTTAAATAATAATTAACATATACGTGTAATCACATGATCGTTAAAGTTGTATATATTATATACACTTACGATGATCCTACACCAATTACGGCATCATATTTTTTCTTTTTCTCGCATAATTCATCAATTACTTTTCTACAATGAATAGCTGTCACTTTAACTTCTATGACAAAATCTTCTACTTTTTCATTAAGATCTTTGAAATTTTTCAAATAATCTATATAGTAAATAGTAAATTGACAATCAATTAATTTGTAATATAATTAATTGATTTGTTAATAATAAAATTATGTGTCTTTTACCTTCGTATTTAGCATCATCATCATTTAATGATTTTAACATTTTTTTAATACAATAATCTACCTGATTTAAATGGATTTTTAAATAGCCTTTTTTTTCTGATAGATATTTACTCAATTCATCACATTTTTTAAATTGATCCCAGATATCATAAATGCTTTTAAATGTATGATAAAAATTGTATAATGTAATAGCTGTAAGAAAAGTAAAACTTTCTACCTAGAAAAAATAAATAAATTGTTAGCATATAAACAAAACATAAAATAACAATATACAAAATATTTATACTTACGAAATTAGCAACTTTACCACCCATCAAATGTTTTAATTGTTCAATAACAATTCTTATCATTTTTTCTTTAACTCTCATCAATCCTCCAACATTACTGATTGAATTAGTACTTTTAATCAAATAGATTACCGAAGAAACACGTTTATTGACTAAATTGGTTTGTCCATGGATTTCATTTATAATGTCAGCCAAGCCTATTTCTATATTTAGACCTCCAAGCACTTGTTGAAATTCGGTTTGCAAATCACTTGTTGACAAGTTTTCATTTACAATCAACAATGATATTGCCTTTAATTTATAATACAAGCTATTTGCGTCAATTACTTCATCTGGTTCGTCAATATGGCTTTTAGCTAATAATTTATTTTGAGTTATTTTGAAATATGATCCTAATTCATTTATTGTCATAATGTCTAAAGGTAACCAATCTTTTAATCCATTTTGGGTGATGCATAACAACAACTCATGGGATTCAGCTTCTATTAAATAATTGACCAAATTCTTATATGATTGATATTTCCTAAAAAAAGCAAATGTGACCTGGTGGGATACGGGGTAAGTGCGTGTAGATGGATCTATTAAATTTTTATATTTGACAAAAATAAACGTGCAAATGAAATCATGTGGATGGCAGTAGTTTGCAAGAAATTTCAGGCAGGGATAGAACACTGTAAAATTGTGTTATAGGATATACAATACTTGCCTTTACTGAATTTTCTTCATCTGGATCTTTTTCAGCTTGCACCCTGAAATAGTCATTAACACTACTTGGGATGATGAAATTATAAATCTTATAAATTATTCTATCGACATCAAAATCTTCTTCCTAATTTTGTGTGAAAAATTTTATTTAAAAAAATACATGAATGCACAAACGAACAAGCAAGCAAGCATACTGATAACATTGATATTTTTGATTTACAAACCTCTTCTAATATTAAATTAGAAATTCTAAAAGATGAGCATAACTCCAAATCATCATCATCTTTAGAATTTAAATTATTTTTTATTGAAATAATTTGTTTATTTATCAAGTATGCAATTGGTACTCCATCAAGAATTCCCAGATTTAATGGTACACAATCCATTTTTCCAGGAAGAACTTTTTTTAACGTTATAGTAAGGAAAGAACAGTAATGTTAATGGTATTTATAAGGAGAATTAATGATTTTTTGCTAACCATGTTTGTTAATAGCATAAATGTTAAAAAACAAGATTTTAGATAAAACAGGTTTGTTGTACAACAAAATTGATAACAAAAGTAGTAATAGTAAACATAGTGGACATTTGATTCGTAATCACGTGCCGTTATCATTCAATACCGTTAGCAAAGAAATTCTTCACAAGTTTATTTTGTTGGTCCCAGGCGTATTAATTAGAATTAGGGTTGGTTTCCAAAACTGTGGTTTCGCAACTGTGCAAAAGTCACTGGTTTCACCACAACTTGAAACTAATTTTGATTTTTGACTTTTGATTTAGTTTTGACATAATTTTTAATTTTAGTTCGACTTTTGCCTCTGCGGACAATACTCTATAATATTTTTGATAATATCTTTTTGTGTATTTTGCATTAATTATTTTTCTTGGATACTTTGTATTTATCAAAAGTTCCTTTAACAAGAACCATAGAAACAATTCAAGAGTGACATGATTAAAAGTAAACGAGAAATATAGCTTCCTGGGCTGAAAGACATGAGAAATTAAAGAAAGCAAAAGAGTCGGGAGCTGCTATTTAAAAATTTAAAGCTAGTTTTTATAAAGTAAAACATTACATCTTAAAAACTTATATTTACAAGGTAACTAACTATAGCAAGTAACCAATTTTTTATCTACTAATATACAATCATAATAAAAACTAATGATTACATTGAATATTTTTTTTCCTTATCAAAGCTCCGATTCAAATGCTCCAAATTCATACACAAGCAATTCATATTCAGCAATCAATTTTTGTTTATTTTCAACAAATTCAATGTGGTGGTGATTGTGGTGATTTTTCTCCTTTTCCAATTTTTCATGCAAAGATTTAAATAGATCAAGTGTTTTGTCGAAGTTTTTGTTTTTATTGCCTAGATCATGACTTGGAGCAGTCAATACAGCCGAACCTACCTTACTTAAACCCATCAATGCTAAACTTGTTATAATCTGAAAAAATTATAGTAATAATTATTAATATTAATAGATATTATATATGTTAATATGGACATTACCTGGTTTTTTGTAATATATCCTTCGAGGAATTGACATGCAAATAATCCCAATCCAACACCACCAAGAACTCTAAATTTTAAATAATAATTAACATGCAGTATAATCACATGATCGTTAAATTTGTATATATACACTTACGATGATCCTACACCAATTACGTCATTATATTTTTTCTTTTTCTCGCATAATCTATCAATTATTTTTCTACAATGAATAGCTGTCACTTTAACTTCTATGACAAAATTTTCCACTTTTTCATTAAGATCTTTAAAATTTTTCAAATAATCTATATAGTAAATAGTAAATGGACAATCAATTAATTTGTAATATAATAAATTGATTTGTTAATAATAAATTGATTTGTTAATAATAAAATTATGTGTCTTTTACCTTCGTATTTAGCATCATCATCATTTAATGATTTTAACATTTTTTTAATACAATAATCTACCTGATTTAAATGGATTTTTAAATAGCCTTTTTTTTCTGATAGATATTTACTCAATTCATCACATTTTTTAAATTGATCCCAGATATCATAAATGCTTTTAAATGTATGATAAAAATTGTATAATGTAATAGCTGTAAGAAAAGTAAAACTTTCTACCTAGAAAAAATAAATAAATTGTTAGCATATAAACAAAACATAAAATAACAATATACAAAATATTTATACTTACGAAATTAGCAACTTTACCACCCATCAAATGTTTTAATTGTTCAATAACAATTCTTATCATTTTTTCTTTAACTCTCAT